TGTCAACATCGGTACTTGCATAACACTTCAGCTAAGTGTTATTTTCGCCGAAGGAGCTTTATCGGCAAAGAGCTTATGTGTCTAAATGGTAAGAGTATTTTGTTTTGAACAAAAAAGTAATATCCTAATAAGTAAAAAGATCTGCATCTGATTGGAATAAATTGAGTAGTATATTAGAAATTTTTTATAAACACTATGCACATTGAAATATTAAATACATTACATAAAATATTGGCTATAACAACAATGAATGGGTTTCAACTTGCTCAACAATCTTTTAATATTATCCTCCATCAATACCTAAGGGTTTTTAGTTTCTCTTACATTAGTTGTCATGGCTTACGAGACAGTCAATAAGTCAATAAACTGTGATTTTGATAGTATTTTCTGTCTGGTTGCATACCAGATATCAGATGGTATGAGTTGTACTAGCTGTCAACTGTCGAATCACCTTTAGAACTTTTTACAATATCCACTTCAATCCACGTTATTATAACAAAATTCTGTATAAGATCTTTTGTTCACATTTTCTCCACCATTCTTCATCACGAACTGTTATTGCATTCTTTAAAAAGGACTGTCATTGTGGAACTTTCAGCACTATAGATTGTAAGCTGACTTTTTACTGTTCTGCAAAGACGTTATTTGTAACCTCTCATCATAAGCCCAAACTTGCAGAATTTAAGATGAGTAAAGAAGGTTTTATTTGCTAGAATATATTTGATGATCATTTTTCCTACACTACTGTTATTGTTGAGATATACCTACACTTTGTAAATAAAAACTCGCTCGCTCTCCTGATGTACTGATTTCTATAAACTATTAACAATAACTTAGACCAGTGCTTTGCCTTGAAGAAATAACAGTTTATTTTTTGGCAGATGTGATTGGTTTTCTTTGAATTATAATTAAATTGGTGAAATAAATTGTGATATAGATCTCTTCAGATTTCTATTCACCTGTACCATTAAGAGTCCTCATAAAAATTTCGCAAATAAGTCTTTAATTCAGTTTGTATATTGTTTTCTGTTACATATATTTTTTTGTTATTATTGGTGCCACAGAAACTACTAAGATTTTAAATAATACAATTTTTTTAATTTTTGTTTTGTGTTCATAATTTTCCACCTTAAACCACTTATTACTTTCTAAAAATTGGAATAATTGTTATTACATCAGCACGGTTCAAGAGCTTTGGCGAAACCAAAATACTTCTTTCTGGAGTAATGATTAATTTGAGAAAACGAAAGTTATTTATTAAGTCTTGCGCCTAACAGCGAAAACGCAGTGGTTAATAAGCGAAAATATTGTTTTTCGAAGTATTCCCCATGATGACCAATACATTTTTGCATTCCATTGAACAAGTTTTCGAAACAGTTTTGACACTCTGAAGTTGATATCTTCAAAACCAGAGTTTTCAATGGATTAACGGCCTATTCAGGCGTGGAAAAACGCTCGCCATACATTTTTTTCCTAATGTTTGGGAACAGGAAGAAATCATCGGGTGCCAAATTGGGACTGTAGGGCAGATGATCCTATTCATTTGAACAATAACATGGCTCAATTATTCTTTATTTTGAAGTTCTTGATGGTCTTCTATTAACACAATCATTGTTTTTAAGAAAACGAGAACTACCTCGTTTCTTTTCTTCACCCTCGTTCAATACGTTCAAGTTATAAGTGTATATTTAACTCATTGTCTTACAATGCTTGCTATTTAGATGGTCAAGGTGTAATAATCATCTTGCTATTTGTTGTAAGATACTACATTTTTTAATTATTCCGCGCAAGGCATCTTACAATTCCGTCAATTTTTCAAAAGTGTCGTTATATGACTTGGTATG